AAAAGGGCAAAAAGGGGCAGAGGAAAGAAACATTTATCAATCCACAAATCATGAGTCTTAAAAAGGTGGTCTTATATCAAGAATGCTCATTACTGACGAGACAAGTTCACAGTTTAATATTCGAAGTTATTATTATTATTTTCTTTCATTGGGAAATGGAAAAAGGCAGGATACAACCCAATTATAGGTTGCATGTTGTTTGTAATTTACATGTAAATGGAAGGAAACCACTATACTATATCCCTTCTACTATACACCACCTAGAAATTAAAGGCTATGTAATTTGCTTAAGCACGGAGGCCTTCAGCTGCTGAGTATCATTAGCTCTACTGAGAAACTTGTTTAAATAATGATCGTCTCAATCACGGACTCCCTCGACGACGATGACGATACAGAAAAGAGGGGAGTAAAGGGGGCGGGGGGGTCCTACGCACGTATCACAGACTTTAAAAAGTAAATTGAAAATAACGCATCACGGTGAATAAAAATCCGTGTTCACGTTTCACGGCTATTTTCGAAAATTCATTCATCTATATTGTCGTCGTTGTTTATCGCATAAGCTTTGCTCCCTTCTGCGGCCTTTTCTAACAGCGCTTTATTTCAATCGGGGATCGTAGACCACGCTTTTTATTTCATTTCATTTTATTTTGCCATTAACCAGAAATACAACAACAGTATACAGAAATACATGAAAGATAATATACGATATTGCAACTAAATTATTTAGAAGATTAAATGTGGTAAAGGCAAGGAAGCCTATATAGAAGCCGGGGGCTTATAAACTATAGGCTTCCTGGAACTATAGGGTAAACCATACAAGTTAAGGGCACTGAATGAAAATTGGGTTAATTAAAAAAAAAAAGGAAAGGTGTGTAGCTCAACAAAGAGTCAATTTAACTAAGAAAGAAGGAATTTTTTAAGTCTTTTGCCAAACAAACTGATACTTTCGGACTCAGCTTTCAAACCAGTGTACTGAATGATGTGCCGAGCTCTTGGTGCCGATTAAGAACTTCAAGGAATGAATGCTTACTGTGCTTTATGGGTATTCGAATTCGTTCTTTACCTCCAAGAAAACCCATAAGATCTACATAATTTATTACTCCCTCTAAAAAACGTTTTTCATCGTCACTGTTGGCCATTGCACCCGAGATCCCTACGCAAACCCCACGCGTCTTAGCTCCACAAAAAATATAAGAGCTGACTTATGATCGATGATTGATTCAAGAAATTCTAACGTCACGGAAATTGTTTCCCAGCTCGCGATCGCAAGCGCTCTTTTCTCAGCAGGTGAAACAAGAGCCGAAAAATTAAAGCAGGGGCGGGGCCAGGAATTTTTCCTTGGTGGGGCATAACTGGGAATTCTCGTGATAGCGCCAATGATGAGTGCCGAGGGCAGGAGAAACTAGGGGGTCCGAGGGCATGTTCCCTTGGGAAATTTTGAAAATTTGAGTACACTAGGATGCAATCTAGTGCAATCTGAACGCTAAAATTTGGAAAAACAACGGGATTTCATTATGGTCAACAAAGTAAGAAAATATGAACCACAAAGGACTGTTGATGTCTTGCAAAGATAATTGTCTCGTTGGACGATCAGCATTGTAGTATTCTGCTTGCAGAATTTAATGTATATACTCAAAGTAAGACTTTTTTCGGCTTAAAAAAAAACTTATCTTACTTTCGTAGAAAATTATCAATCGTCAGTTGGTTTTAGCATTCATGGTTTGGAGAAAGTTTTAATTGACATCAAATTTTCCAAAGCGATTTTGCCTGTTATTTGATACTGAAACAAACTGATTTCCAATATCTGCCATGTTCAATTTGCCAGTCATTTACTTGTGAACGAGGGGATTCAATCTTTCTTGCCCAATTGTTAGTTATCCCGAAGTTGAAAGTTGATGGGGCAAACGCCCCACTTTCAGCACTGCCCTTGAAAAGGCGTCTCCTCTCACGGGCTAGGTCATTTAGGACATATAAGGGAACGAATTAAAGTCCTTTAGGACCTTTTAAACAAGTTCATTGGACGGTCCACTGGCTTCAGTGTAAAATATTTCTTCAGTTGCAACTTGCCATCTATTTTCACGAAAAAATTAGTTTAAAATCACGAATATCGGACAAAGATTTTAAAGCTCACGTATCACGACAAGCAAACCATTCACAGTTCACGGATTTTAATTTCGAGTTTTCACCTTTCACGAAAATTAAAAACACTTAATCCCGTATCACGCGATTTTCCGGCCCAGGCTGAATATTCCGTATTTTCTTGCCAATTTTAGGCTGAAAATATTCTTATTCTTTAAATATTCTTGTATTATTCTTAATAAATTGCCTCTGACTTTTCCGTTTTTGGATGTATTGGGGTACGGGAAATTTGAAAATTCCAGATTTTCAAATGTCAATTTCCCACCCTGGGGTCTCCATTTTGAGTGAGCTTCCCACCCCTGGGGCGAACTAATAGGCACTCACAACAGTCTTAAAAAGCAAATATATAGATTTAGCCAGGGCTAAAGGCTAAGCTCTCTATAATATTTAAAGTTTGTCCAAACAAAATATAGAATCGTGTAATGCTAAGAGGCGAAGGCAACGTCGAAGAACGGTGAAAAACACTGAGCAATAGGTCTAATTTGCAAAAAAAGCAACTTTGCACTTGCAGCACACTTTTTTTGTATATTTCTTTGCCGTTGTTTTGCACGACTACAGTGTGAAACTTCCACTGCGACGATCATTTCTTCATTTTCATTTCATTTCCGCAGTTCATATATGATTTATTTCATATATCATTAACACTCATTTCTTTCACGGGAACATACGAACACACAATTGACCTGCTCCCAACGTCAGTGGCTTCATAGTTCAGTTGGTAGAGCATTGCACCGGTAATCGCGAGGTCACGGGTTCAAACCCAGTTGAAGTCCTGAATTGTTTTCAGGCTTCTTTACGCAATTGCATAAATTGCGTTCACTGCGACGATCATTTCTTCATTTTCATTTCATTTCCGCAGTTCATATATGATTTATTTCATATATCATTAGAAACTTCTTTGTTACACGTTTTTTTGGAGGAAATATTGTACGTGCTATCGTTCCCTTTTTTTTTCACTGTCGCTCATTTTCACCTTGCATTGGTGGCCGCTAGCATTTCTCATTTTGTCACCGCTTCTACAAAGTTTTCATGTTGTTCTTCCAACAAAAAATATGTCTCCTTTGTTTTTTTTCTCGTTGAGCTTCGCTGGCCTGCCGCCTACTTTCCCTTTTTCTCTGTCTTTCTCTTGCTCTATATTCAAAATTTGTGGACATGACAGTTAATGTATTGCCCGCCACCCCTCCCCCTTATAGGTGATAGCCAGGGCTAAAAGCGAAGTTCTCGTTACTATACTTATAGTTTACTCAAAGAAAAATATACGACAAAAACGAAAACGGCTAACAAAATCAGTGGGTCTAATTAGCAAAAAAACAACTTTGCACGTGCAGCAAACTTTTTTGTACATTTCTTTGCCGTTGTTTTGCACGGCTACTACGTGAAACTTCCTACTTTATACACGTTTTATTGAGGAAATGTCGCATGCATTCCTGTACGCGTTTTTTCACTGCCGCTCATTTTCACCTTGGCGGCCGCTAGCATTTGTCATTTCCTCAGTGCCGCTAAAAACTCTTCATGTTTTCCTTCCGTCGAAATTCGTCTCCTTTGTTTTTTTGTCTCTTGCTCTCGCTCTTTCTTTGTTAACCATGTCTGTGTAAACATTCTGATTTAGTCAGTGAAAGTACAGACTCGGATTTGCTGTTGTTTTTGCAAGTCAGGGTGGCTATGCGGTTTACCACCAAAAACGCACTGGTGCTTTAAATACGAATTTCACCGCGGCATACATGAGGAGCAAAAATTGACGGGAGATATGACAAAGCAAAACGTTTTCAGACATATATTTATAAAATAGACCTCTGAGAGAGGACCCTGATTATCATAGGCTTACTGGCAATAGCGCCTTAATAGTCTGTACAAAAACCTGGTGCCGTTCTTAAAGGCTCGCAGTCATGTTATGTCGCGACTGGTAATTGGCACATTCACTTTTTGACATTGTTTGTTACACGTCCTAAGTGCTTTATAACACGTAATGTTGGTTCGGCGGCCTCAGGCAAAGTTATCACTTTTACAGGTACGGTTCTGGGACTATTGTTATTTTTTGCGTATTCTCAGAAATTCAGTATAGATACCACAGTCAAATTACCGAAGGAGGTTAAACCCCCCGCTCCCGGTTGTAAAATGATGAAACTGTTAACCGTTGATAAATTTTTCAGTCACTAGACACTCGTATTAGAATGACGACGGGTTTTGCGTTTTCCTACCTAGTGACACTGGTTCTCGCGTGAGTTACCTATTATTGAGAAAATACCGTTCCCATAGTCGTCTTGGTATGAGAATCAACAAACTGCGAGCAGTCTCTCTTTTTCTTCAGATTTAGTAAGGGAAGTGTACGCGTGTGAGCGGCAAAGCCGTGAGACGCGCGAAACGAGGGCGGCAGCTCGGGAAGAAAAAGAGCCTCTCCCCTCTCGCGCCATCAGTCACGCGCGTGGCCATTTGCGAGTCTTGGGTTTTGCTCGACGGACTAAAAAAAAAAACTGAGACTGCTCGTATTCTAGAGAATTAAAAGTTAACTTCCTACTTTATTATTTATAGACTACAGTCAGTCAGTTCGACCTCACGGGGACCGGTTGATATCAAAATGTCTCAGGTTCATGTTTTAACTTCTGAGCAGGGCTATCAATGGGTTCCACTGGTTGTAGAACAGCAACTGACTTATTCCCTTAATCTTCCTCAAAACTGTGTATATGTAACAAATTCATGCTTTACTAATATAGTTTGTTCATTTTTTTGTTAACTTCCCAGCGGGACTATCATTAGGTTGCACTTGTAGAACAGCAATACTTAACCTTTTAATCGTTCTCAAAACTGTGTAACACAGAAACTCAAGTTCATGTTTTACTAAGAACATAGCTTGTTATTAACTTCTAAGCAGGACTATCATTAGGTTGCACGTGTAGAACAGCAACACTTTTCCCTTTAATCTTCCTCAAAACAGTGTAGCACAGTGACATCATCAGCTCGAGTACTTCCACACACGTCAGCGCTGAGATACCAATCCACATTCCCATGATGCCACCAATGTCGGACAGAAAGCGTGCAAACTGTTGATGTCAAGAAACATTTGAGATATTAACTAACTGTACTTAAACCCTTCGAGGAGGCGTGTATGGCTGGGCAGTTAACGCTTCCAGCTCCGGATCTGGAGGGCCGGGGTTCAAGCCTCGCCCGTCGCGTTGTTTCCTTAGACAAGGAACTTTACTCTCCTTTGTCTCTCTTCACCCAGGGCGCTGTTGTTTGAAGGCCGATGGGATTAGCGCTTACCCGGGTTTTAATTCCAATCCACCTTTCTTTTTCTCGAATAATTTTCTCAGTTTTCTAGAGCATCCAACCACCAAAGTGCAGACAAAAAGAATTAAACGAGTTTGCTTTTTAAGCTTTCATATCAGAATTTAAATTTCGTACTAACCCTGGCTTATCTTAACTCAGCTTTGAACGACCCGGCCCAGGTGTATAAATGGATACCGGCGACATAATGCTGGGGGTAACCCTACGATGGACTAGCATTCCGTCCAGGGGTGTAGCATTACTCCTAGGAATGCTTCTTGTTAAGGAAACCCGGAATAAGCTCAGGCCATTTGGTTCTTTGGCTCGTGGGCGCCTTTACCTTTTTTACCTCAGTCTACTTATAACAACTGCTTCAGTGTCACCCCTTGTGCTATTCTTTAGTCTCCTCCGCCATAGGCCCTGTTCACAAAAGTTTGTTTGTTTTACAAATATAATCTGCCACAAGGTAGCCATTTCTAGTGCGAACGATTTTTTTTCACCTTCAGTGGAACCGCGCCTTACGGCCACTTCGGTAATACGGTCACCTCGTTATTGGGGCCACTTCTTTTTGCCGCCCGGCAAAACGACCATTCATTTTATTTGGAAAAACCCTCGTCAATACGGTCACCTCGTTAATACGGCCAAATGTTTTTGGCCCATTGGTGATCGTATTAACAGGGTTCCGTACAAAAATTTTCGCAATCGCCAGCTGTTACCAAACTTCAAAGGTCCCGTCGAGAAACTTTGGAGGCCGACAATTTTTTGTCAGACAGGAAAATTCTTTGTTCATTGACAGCTGTCCCTCGTCAGGTCATCCTCCAAAAAAACTTCCTTCAATTGACCTTTCTGCTCATACGAAAAATTTCGCGTCTCATATGCGAACAAGGTTGCAAAAACGAAAAATTGGTGATTATTTTTCGTCCTAATGCGAACAAGGCCTCAGTGAGATTTAAAAGGTTACCTTAATCAACTAATCGCTTATTAAACATCAACCAGGATCTGTATCAGTACATCCATATTAGGGAGCCAGTAAGCAACAACAACGGCGACGGCTACGAAATCGTCACCTAACTTGTAAATTCACGCTGTCTCCAACGTTATCGTGTGTATTCCATCTCGGTCAATGCAATTCGTCAAATTTTGGCAAATTTTCCTGGAGTTGAATTCTAAAAGACTGTCTTGAAATTCAAGAAAAGAAAAAGAAAATCGTTGCCCCAGTGTTCATATCACGCCCTCTACAAAATGTGAAATTATGCTCTTTTACGTCATGCAGAGACTACAAAGAAATGCACAAAAAAGCGTGCAGAGTTGTTGTTTTGCCAAGAATCTAAACCTAATGCCTTTCAGCCGTCCTTATTACCGTCGCCGTTGTCGTAACTTAAGCCGCTTAATTTCCGTGATTAGAATGGGGCTACAACGGGGACGTACCACTCAACAGGGTATTTCTTAAATTTATTTGTTACTTCCTTATTAGTGATTTGCCTCCATTTTGTATTGACACGCACGCAACGCTCACGCAACGTTTCCCCCGACTCTCCTCTTTCCTGTTTGTGAGGAGAGCTTTGCGTGACCACACAAAGAACGGCAGCAATAGGAGACTAGGATTTGCCTGAATAATGAGAAATTAGAATGAATAGTTCCTTACAGTATATGCATACTCTTCATCTAGAACTTCAAAGTTTAGCTGCCCGTAATATACTTTCAATTTCAGAAAGTTTAAACTGCAAAAGAAAAGAATAAAAATTGTTCCATTTTTCTTTCTAATGAAAAATTGGTCAATTTGTAAAATTGAAACAAAGCGACAAATAAGGGATAAAAAAGTCATTGACAGAAATTGCACACACTCACAAAAAAAAAATAATATTAGTGAAGCTCAAAATGATTTTTTTGTGAGACAATGAAGCAAAATAGGAGACCCACTCGCTACCGCCGATTGCACCTGTGGGTATTATATTTCTTTTCTTTTCACTCAAATCTGTTTTAGGTTTCAACTAAGTAAACCACTATGAAATAAACCATCATGTATCATCTCGTTCAATACTTACTTAAGTTCATTGGAATGATTACCAAGTCCATCTGATTTAAGGATATCTCGCAGATGCTTCTGTGAAATAAGAAAATAGGTGCCGTAAACGAAAATTGGAGGCCTAGTCGCAAAAAAGAGATACGAAAAGCTTAGCAAAATTTTCTTCTTTACCTTTGAATGCTCAGAGGGCCAATTCGCTGCAGAAACGGTCATCTTGAAATCTTCTGACCTGATTAAAAACGCTATAATTAGTTATCTTAACGGGTCAAAATAAAGGCTAATTCAGGGTTCAAAATAAAAAGATGAGGCCACGAAATAAAGTCATAAATGGAAATCAATATGATTAAGTTCATAACGCAGTTTTTAGTTGTAAGGAAATGGTAATGGTACTAGCTAATTTCAAAACATTATTTCCTACCTGCATTTTTGCCGACAATTATTCTCACATTTACCATCGGAGTAATCGTCGTATGCGTCGTTAACACAGGCAACTGAAATGTGGAATGTTCAGTGCAAAAGAAAATATTTATTAATTCTGCATAAAAACGTAACAGGTCAGCAGAGCTCATGTAAAGTCAACATTAGTGTACGTAGAACTGGCACAGGGACCAAAATTAAGCTGAAAATTCAGATAAACTGGAAGAAGGTCATTTCCCGGTCAATTGACCACAGCGGAAAAAAATCAATGTTGAAATTATTAATATATGCAGTACCGCTGAATACTATCGGCCTTCCCAGCCGTCTGATTGGCAGTATTCTCTATTGGATGGAATAAATTATTTTTTGTTGCGTTGTTTTTACCAGAGTATTGCCGTAAAGTAAACGTACTTTTTTCTACGTCAGATCCATCGCAAACATCATGGGACTGGTGATATTTTAGTGTGTAATAAACGCATCCACATTTACTATTCATTGATGTTGCCAAGCAAGAAATCTTGCATGCCTAAGATAGAAGATATAAATGACATCGTGAACGACAAATGCAGACTGCATACTTGGCAATTAATGAATGAGGCTGAGTAGGAGGATATCAAGAATTAAGCTGATCGAGGAGGGTGTTATCCTTTATCATTCATTCAAAATAATTCCTAGTTTAAAAACATACCTAAAACATGCTTGCCTGCCTCGTTAAGTTTATCTTCGATAGTGTACGTTTAGGTTTGTCCAGCTCCGAAAATATTCTACAACTAGCAGATGTCGCCCTCCGAGTTGTCTTCTTGCTGTTTTTTTGCTATGTTTTTAGCCATTATTTCGCCTAGCTCCAGCTGTAGTTCTTATTCTTGAAACGAGAGAAGTGTCCACTATTTTAGTTTTCACCACCAAAACAACTCAACCTCGGCCCCATGTCTTCTCGGTTAACGGTACATTAACCCGTAGCGGGCTGCACTTTTGACGTCATTTCGTCGTTAAACACACAATTCTTCCAAATTTGGTCATCAGTAACACTGGTTATGGTGAATTATGCGTGTCCTTTTAGCCAATCAGAATTGGGGCTGGGTTATTATGGGATAAACAAAACGAGACCCCACATTGCCAGAAATAGCACATTGAGGTTAAAAACATTCTCAAATTTTGTGTTTATCGGACCTACATTGAACGAGATACAGCCATTCAAAAACGCTAAAATTTAATACAGAATAACGTTGTATTCGGCAATCCATATCTGTTAATACATTTTCAAGTATCTAAATAGCTCTTATCTTGTTCAATATTGGCCCAACTGACACCAAACTTGAGATTTTCCTAACCTCAATGTGCTGTTTCTGACTATCTGGTTTCGTGTTGTTTATCCTATGATAAACGGACTCAGAACCAGCTCTCCTCGGTTTAAAATTAGGCTATAAAAAGTCTAAAACAGTGTTTGGACTGCCCACAAAACTATTCCTATCCCAAACTTAGCGAAGAAGACATAGTGTTTTGTGGTGGCTTTTCACAACATTGTTATTTTACGTTGTTTGTATATTGTTTGTAGACTGCAGCAATTATTGCATCAAGATGTCTTATCTCCAACTTCTTCCCTTCCCTTCATTAAGCAACGAGGAGGTTCAAGGGTCGCCGCTACATGACTCCGTTCCTACCTATCTCCTAGCTAAGCAGCTTTACGTACTATGGCAATATTGTAACCTTTAGCAAGATTAGAACACTGTCTATTAAATGATGCCCACTGATACAGACACTTTATCTGGCTCTCAATCTATGGTACACTGCCTCTTTAATTGCCGTCATAGCATTCCTTTTTAGTGACGGATCCAGCCAGATGTATAGATTAAGGTGGGGAACCGAGGCAAGGGGGGGGGGGGTACTTGTTTGTTTTAGGTGAAGATGTGGCGCTGGGACCCTGGAACCTTTAGCCAATACCATGCAGAGCTAGTTCAAGCGAATTTTGCGACCCTATACTAGACTAAACTCCCCAGATCCCCCCATTATCCTAGAGTAGCTGTTTTATTCCAGAATCTACTGACTGAGGTCACTTTCACAGTCTAGCCAAAACGATTCCGATTTTTTTATATTTTTGAGTAGCAATTTCCCGTTTCCTTAGTCTAGACTAAACTCTTCGACCAATTGATCAGTTTCCTGGAAAATGATACCCTATAATTCTAGACCCAAACTGCTTGAAAACCATACACTTCACAGCGGCACATACCTATATAGCCCATATATGGCAATACCCCACTCCCGGGAACTGAGGGTCCCCAAAAGGGTTCTACAATCCCGTCATCCCGACTCGACTTCCTGCATCACGCGGATATTTTCAATCCCGAATCTCGCACCTCATTTTGCTTTGAAAACTCGAAGCGGGTCCCCGGAAGCTGCTATCTATTCTGACCGGGACAAAGTGCCTCGGCCCTGTGGGTCTTGCTTTTGTTTAAGAATAAGGAAACTGAAACTTGTTATCCTCTCCGGGCCTAGATTCGGCACTGCTTTGTCTTTTGTGCTGTTTACTAGGAAGGGCATTATTTCAAAGAAGTCTCCTTACCAAGTCACTGTAGGACATATCGTAACGTTGAAATATATTGTCTCTCTCTAGCTCACTTCTTGGTTCACAGCTATCATTGTTAAAAGGATCTAGCTTGCCAATCACAATCTGAAAGGATCCAATGGGCGAATCATTAATTATTCACATTTTGCCTCATAAACATATGCTTATTTATCTAATGAAACTAATAATTAATAAATAAATTCTCTGAATATATCTAAAAATTTGAGTCCAATCAATTGTGGATAGTTTCGGGGGAATTCTCTTGGAATAACTGGAAACTTTACAAAGAATGTATGAGCTCATCAACTTTTTTGCAACCCAGAAATTTTGAAGGTTTTGATTGCCTATAGTTGTTTTTTCCTTTGTTTTTAAGTTCCCGTAAGCGACCAGCACTCAGCGACTTCTCAGTCTTGTTCATATAAATCAACACTTAAATGAAACTGCACACCGCGCTAAAGGTCTAAAAAAAATGCACGTAAAGTTTCGTCGTGTCTATGTCAGATATAAAGACATTCATTTAACATCATTTTTTCTTTATGAATTATTAATGAGTTTCTGAATCTCTCGTACTGCGACAACCCTCTATTGTTTCACCTTGCCGTCGCTTAAGTGGGCTAATTGTCGTAAGCGACCAGCTCTAGTTATGACCACTTTTTTGCCGATTTCTAGCCTGCGTAGCAAGCGTTTCCTTGCTATTTCGGAGCAAAGAACGAGGAGAGAGAGCGAGATCTTACCTATTATATGTATTTAACTGTAATGATCATATCTATGTGTATCTTTCAGGATGTTAACACCGAAGTTTGTGAGCAGTTGTTTTCATGTCTCTCAAGATTTGCACCATTGTCAAAGCACGCCGTCATTTCTCGCGCGGCCAAAACCGAAAATCTCTCTTTGCTCCCGAAACCAAACGGAAACGTGTGCTATGCAGGCTAGCCGATTTCCGAGGTGGTCGCTTACCAGCACTTCGACTGTAAATATTTACAGATCACCTTTGTTTGCGTGTGTTTACAAATTTGGAGGACTTGAAAGAACATACATTTAAAAGCTATCAGGAGCACCCTATTGGGGTTCCTGTAATTATTGAATGAGGAGGAGCAATTGATATGAAAAAATTATGCAGATCGGAAAGGGTGCGTGGAAACGAGGTTGCGATTTTATATTGGTGGTAATATACCATTGTATCGATGGTATATTACTTGCATCTTTCAAATTTCTTCAGCGCCAGCTGGTTACGAAGAATTCGCTGGGGGATTAAGCCAATCAGAAAGTAATACTATTATCAAGTAATTATTACTTAAAGCCTTCTGGGGTTACGTTTACCTTTCGAAGCATTACTCCAGTAGAGTACCCCGGCGCTACGCTTATGCCTAGCTCATAAGGAAATGGCATTACGTTTTGTGTTCCAATGAAAACTCGGATACCAGCTTCATCTGTTAGTTCACTTACATATTCGTATTGCTCTGCGTTTAATTCCAGCTGTAAACCTAGTATAATAACCAATAAATGTGTATTTACAACTCATTCTCCCTGCTTTTCAGTATTTAGAGTGGTTACCTTGTATTTACCAGGTTAACCAGGGAAATTAACTAGTAAAATTACAATCAGACAATAAATAATAACAACACTGCAGTTAAAAGTTAAAAACATGGTAAACCTGATATTTAGACTTGAGAATCCCAACTGAAGTGATGCAACCATGTTATTTTCTGAACAGGCTTTACTGCTTACGGGGTTGATTTGGGACTAAATGTATAAAGAAACAGCTCCAACTACGTTTTCGGTAGATCTTGATCTCAAAAATTTTTACATTGTCAAAAGGAGCACAAAACAGCCAAGGCGCCTTGAGGAGAGAAATTTTGCAACAGGAAGTTCATACTACTCCTAAAAACAGTAGTGGAATAACGTGTTCCATTCTCTTTTTTTAAGTTGATCTCTTTTATTCTCACTGCATAATTGATTAGCTCATCCCAGGATTTTTGTGCACTCTGCGCGCATTTGCTCGAGAGTGCGCATGCTCAGCAATTGTAATGCTTTGCGCCTCTGGACTATAAATTTCGCCCCTTTGCCCAAAACGTGGCAATTTTTATGATCAGTACTCCCGGATCACGGTCAGTTTTTGCTACCCAACCAATAATTCTCTGGTCTTGGTTAACGGCTTCAGCGTCTGTCCTCGTTGCATGCCTATTACCTCAGTAGTCGCGGACTTTTCCCATCACTTAATGCATATTACGCCGTGAGGTAAGGAGTATGCAGTGAGGATATGTTACTTACCGTTATCATGGCCGGGAATTGATGACGTCAACAGTTGAAGTGCTTTACCATTTCCAGTTCTTCCACGGTTGAATGAAAAGCAGTTCCCATACTTTGGATGCCAGAGTTGAGTCCACAGGTCGCGAAAGTCATCCCTACCATTGTATAAAACAAATTTATTATATGGCTAATACGCGCGCTCTCGGATTGGCTGTTTTATTCTAATTTTCGGGAATTACTAGCTAGGTGTCCAAAGCATGTTCAATCTGTGTTTAACTTGATAGTGGACATCCTTATGGACATCCATGTTATGGTCAATTGTCAGCTGTCAAAAAGGGTATCCGCTGATCAGGGTCTCCTGACTGTATCGCTGCCTAAAGGGTACAACTGATTGAGGTGACGTGTTTTTTAAAGTTATTGGCTGACCAGTTGTTGGTTTTAATTAATCGCAGGGTCAGGTCCACAATGAAATGCTATATATCGCTCGGTCAATACATGAAATGCCATTTATCACTCGGTCAATACATCAAGGCCTCGGTCTGAGATTTTCCTGTATTGACCTCTGTCAATAAGTATTATATAAAGGCCGATTTATACCATAGTTAGTAATAACTATGTTAACAAAGCAAAGTCTCTAGTAGAACCTTACCCGTACGCTGGTAGGGGTTCCGTTCATCAACCTTGACCGCCCATACATCTAGCTCTTACTGATTTACGTAATAATTTGTTATCAAGTCATGCTGATGACACTTGACTGACTACAGTCATCATTGCATTATCATTGTTATGATTTGTTTGTTTGTTTGTTTGTTTTTTTTTTATATTAAAGCTTTTGCAATACTGTAACTACATAATTATAGTCATGCAAATAAAGCTTATGTTGTTGTTGTTGTTGTTGTTGAGTAGAGTAATACCTAAGTCACAGTGATTTTTCAGCCTATTGATTTCATGGATTTATCTTTCGCTTCATTGAACTCTGAGTATATCAGAGTAATGTAAAATTTCAAGAAATGGTAGATGGCGTCAGCGAAGTATCAAGGGAAAAGAATTTATCCGGTTGGATAAACTTGGAGTGCTAGGACTATGACGCTTCTATCAAGAAATTCGACTGCTATGTTGGATTTTGTGAACAAAACCGCGAATTTGATGGGACGATAATTAAAGTCTAACGCACTGTGACAGCCGACCGCGACAGGACTGACTATGACACGGCGGAATCGCGTTGCGTTTATAATACACTTTTTTCCTGACAGGTCGAATTAAAAGGATATGTTGTTGATTCACACGACACAATACGTTTCGTAGGTTTAATCTAGTGCACTGAGTAAGGTGGTAAAACGGGAGTCAGCGAGCTCGCTGGTGATACGTGATGCACATGCTTAAGGGTGGGTTGGGAACGCTTCTGACCGATATAAACATTGCATTGCGTCGGTCTAGTGTCACTAATACACGGATTTAATCGCGTGATCTCCATAGGAATGAAGTCACTTCGTTGCCAGGGTGGGATAAAGAGAAACAAGTCATCTCGAATTAATCTTGAAAGTTTTTTTTGAATTATAGTCGCCCACAAAGACTCGTTCTAATACTATAAACTTGACAGCGTATTGTAACTGGTGTCACATTCAGACTTAACGACTGGTCCGACCGAGAGACTGATACAGTAAACTTTGATTGTCGAGACCCTCAGACAAAGAGAAAACAAACTGGGGATAGTCTAAGAGCATCCAGTTTAAAGTATAATTTACATGACAGATATGTGATGGTTGCATAATAATCAGTTACACTTTAAGCTTTGATTGGAAGCTTTCTGCTTTCAAAATGCAAGAACAAGGACTCCGAGATTTATCAGAAAAGGAAACTTTACCCGAGATCGGGATGCGTACTTACATACACTCCATGCTACTGTCGTATTGACACTTTAATAACATGTCATCTAGTTGATGTCCGGCTTCCTGAAGAACACTCTCGGGGTATTCGGCAAGACGTTTCTCAATCTTTTCTTTCAGTATATCTCCATGAGGAAGATCGTGGTCACCCATCCGAGACCTGTTAACCACACTGTTGTTCACGTCTGTTTTGTTGTTGTTTTTATCAAGGAAAGAAGAAAAGAAATACCCTCATATATCCGTCACACAAGATTAAGGGCCAGAATCGGATTCTGCGCATGCTTCACCTGGAATAGTACTTTTTTCTGAGTGAACAGAATATGTAAGGGCTCTTGAGAGGTTGCGCCGTAGGGAGCACGCTACGCTAGCTTGCAAGACAGGCGTTATTTGTTTTCGCTTTTTTCTGGCGAGCCAGGGCATAAAACGGGCGTAGAGCGCGATACAGGCGCAGAGGAAGAAGGCGCCGAATTAGCGCATGTCTCGTTTTCCACGCCCACTTCGCGCTGGCTTTCGCTGGCCTGGGCGAGAAAACATAACGCCCGTTCTGAGGAATCAAATATTAAATGGCAGAGCTGCAAAGGCCCTGCAAATTAGAGTTAAAGTGCAACCGCTAATTATAACTCGTCATGCTGCAAAGTGCAAGGAGGGGAAGTATACTTAACTCTCAAGTGCGAGTAGACATAGCCCTTAATTAAGCTTCTTTAAAAAATATAAATGTTATCAAGTCCGCATATGAAGGTTTAATTTTTAATTGATAGGTTTGAATTTGTAAAATAGGCAACGGGGCTAAAGTAAAATAAAAATAGTCTCTGATCACTTACACTAAAAGCTGCGAGTGTTTATAATATAATTGCCTACCTTATAGAGAAGTGAGAAATTTTCGTAAATGAAAAGGTATGGATGGTTTTAGATAAATAAATAATCTTACTTTTGCTTAGTATTTGAGGAAACTCCTCCAAAATTTTCGGCGGCATTCTTGATAATCGAATCTTGTTAAGATTACAGACAGTAACTTGAGGGAATGGTAGTTTCTGTAAACAAAGCACAATTAAGTTTGTCTGCAATATAACGATTACATTACTTTTTGTTCCGAACTGTCGATTCTATTAGAATCGACAGTACCTCTTCTGATCAGCAAACTGAAGTGGGTTTTAAGAAATGATTCAGAAACATAGAAGCCATTTTACAATACCGATTTGTCTGAAAGTTATGCAATCTTACCAATGAAGTAAAATCCCGAGGGAGTGTACTCCCTAGTATGGCCTATATGGGGATGTGCCGCTAATAATGCTATCAGGTTTTTGTCCTCTCTGTTCTAAACATAAATGATTTCGTGCGAGTTTGTCCAAAACCGGATGTACTATTTCGTGCGTTTCTGTCCTAAATATAAACAGGGTATTGTCTGTACGATTGATTTGATTTGCCAGATAAAATTTTTTTGTACTCAAAGTATACAAAACGTGATTTTACAACGTGATTTTCCTGTATTGCAATTGTTAATAAATGGCTTAAAATTGAGACGGGGTTTGTCCTTTGTCCTAACCAGGGTAATAAAGTTGAGAGTGTTGTCCTAAACAGGGTAATGTATTTAAGATTTTATTTTGTCCTAAACAGGGTCAGGATTTTAAACCCTCAGTAGACCACCTGTCAAACGCAGTTAGATGTAAGAGGGTTTGATTAAAATATGGTGTTAGATAGCCAAACTGAACCAAGATGTTGCCAGGTAATCCAAGCAGGTGACGTCTCAAATTATTTTCTCTCAAGGTGATTAGCGACTACAAATTCACAGTTTGAAAAGAAATATTTGGTTGTTTATATTAATAATTTTGGTGGAAAAATTTCCCTCTCACGATTCCACAGACGTTTTTTCTTTAAAACTCAGACTGTTTATCTTGTGTTCATATGCCGCTCAGCTGGTTTGAGATCTACGATGATGTTGTCTCTGTCAGACATAGGTATCGCGTCATTGCAACCGGGTTTTCATCGCTACATCACGTTGCATCTTAGTCATTTGTCAAAGATAGTGTACTGCAAAACTTTTTCACTCTTTAATTCTCACTTCAAATGCGAAAATTTGAATCTAACCTGTTGGTGTGCAATCCATGCCCTCGTCTTTAGCGGTCTAGCACTGTACTGAAGAATGATATCATGAAGCTGATAAGCGAAAAGACCATAGGCTGCGGCGCACACTAACAGCCAAAACCACCTTCGAGACAGCGATTCATTTGCACCGGCCACCCTTCCGTAGCCGTGAGCAGTTGTATAGCCAAAGCACTCTAATATCTTTGCCTTGAATTGAGAAGGCAGGCTTTCACTAGGAGACCTTTCCTTGTTTTGTAACATTGCACTGGAGGCTAAGAAGAAAAATTTGAAAAGTCAGGGTGAGAAACTAGTAAGGGAAATCATTTTTCACGCCATAACTATAGCGTTTTGAAGGTATAACATATTAATTGGTTCCTGATATTTTTCTTTCGAAAATATTCCGTTCACGGGATTTATCTGGTAGGAAGGTAACAGTTTTGAAGAAATGCACGTTTTATTCCTTCGCTGGCTTACAGTTTATTTTTTCGAGTCGTGCCTGCGAATAACACAACTTCTCGTTTTAGCTAAAAGAAAAAAAAATAATTAAAGTTATCTAGAATTATTCATATATATTGAAGTATCAAAGTGAAATTTTTGCTAGTGGAAAAATATTAAAGATACTATGGAAGTAGGCGGGAGTGTTAATTGAGTGAAAGCGTGTAATGGAAGGCCAGCCAAAGCTAGATCGATTTCTTCATATTACCTGACTCCAACTCAAGGTGCCATCTTGTTGCTGTCACAAATACATTAGACTACCAATCCTCGTAACAAATGTATTTTTATGCTATTTAGTATCCTTTGGCTTTGCTGTGATATGCTGGCATATAGCACAATCCCTTGGCGGGTGACGTTTTCTCACCTGCAAAGAAATTCATTATTGTCTCAGTCGAATTTTTACCTGCTGATTTCCTATTATTTTTTATGTATAACTCAACTAATTAGATAATTCTTCTGGTCACGAACAGCGATCCTACCAAGCTTGTGATTTAGGAGACATCATCATTTGCAAAACAGTCTAAAGCGATTATGAAAATTATAAAGCAAATCAAGAATTTTAGTTTTGCAGATGAAATTGTCTTCAGTGCAGTCAGCTGTGTAGGACAAATATTTTTTCTGCCAAATTGTATGACGTTCTGACTATAGCTTTACAAGGAAAACAATAAGCAGAAATAACGCTTAACTTAAAAATTGCAAAGGGGATTGGTCTGGTGACCATTGTGCCAGGACGAGAAAATACTTTTAGCAGGGATTTCTTACTTTAAGCTAGCAACAGTGACTTGCCGCCGTCTTACACATTTCTTTGTTAACCGACTCCCAAAATACGTAAAATGGTCGTTCTTTATTAATCAACCAGCAGAAAAAGACCGCAGAGAAACTATCATAAATAGTGGAGAAAAAACTCATTTAATTTTCCACCCGTTATGTGACAAAATAAAGGTTAACCATGGTCTAAGTATATACCTAACTATGCCATTAAATTGGGCGGGGCGGCACCGATATCAGAAAACTGATTATCATTCCTTTTCAGTCGTCTCAGGCATACAAAAAACTAAGAGCTTACCAAATACCTGTTTTGTTTGCCTCTAAATTACCTGGTCTTACCTTTAGGGCCGAAGGATCGCGTTGTCTTGAATTCAAGAGCAGTTCCTAAACCTAGTGATTACATATTAAGTGGAACGGACAGTTCAGTCCTTATTAATTTGCGCTAGTATAAAACTACACGCAGAGGCTTGCTGAGTCGTTTCTTTGTTATAGACAATCATAGATCCAACAGGGTTTGAAATATTTCCATAAAATACCACACATTAATAGTTAAACTTTGTTTTTTTACTTCCAGTTTTCCGAAACTGACCAAACATGCGTTGCTGAAAAGAACAGATAACTTGATACACTGATGTTTTGTAAGTAAGTAAGTAATATCGACCCTAGACTGAAAACACTCTCACATGAGAACTCATCTTTTAATTTGATTTAATAATTTAAATTTTCAATGGTAACTGGACAATTTCTGTCATGTTTTGAACCTCTATTTCCGCTGCAACCAATTATCTGGTGTAAAGGCTAAGCTAACAAAAGGTAACTGATATATTGCTGCAACGTAAGCACCCTCGTTAAAAAAAAAAAAAAAAAAAAAAAATAAAGGAGGTACCGATAATTAAACAATGTTAGGTGAATATTTTTTTTGGAGTCAAATTGCGTGGTTCATGATATATTTACTTATTTATTGGGATTGTCATGCAATCATTACCAAATAACAATTAGAATTGTAGTACATGTGTAGACGAGATAGACGATTGATAAAACGACAACATAATATATATCTCACCGGTTCATGTTGTTATAAAGTAATCTTAAATTTAATGTGATAGCCAAGAAGCTATTAAAGACTATGAAGCTGGGACGATGGTACAAAAATGAATGTGCAGCAACAAGCAAGACGTGAAATTAGAACTCGTGAAATTACGGCGTCATGGTCATACCCTCAGGGTAACCCAGACCCTGAGATGGGGGAGGGGCTTAAAATTCAGATTTGGTGGATGGACAGGAAGGAATTGGCTAACACATTCACGTGTTAGCCAATTTTTTACTAAAATTCCTGTACCAGTCTAGACACTTCAGAAAGGAGATAGAAAGCCCCCCAAGAAAAGTCTCAAGGCCAACAGCTTGTAGAAAAACAAACTTAAAAGTATCAACTGCCTTAGCGGACAACGTTCTTAAAAGGAAGTGAACTTAACTGTTACTGGTCAGCGACTGCTCGCTATTGACAGCTGGCAGTTGACCTTCGACGCACGATTGGCATAATGATCGCTTGGAGTGCATCAATTTCGCATTGGCCCAACTGTGTTACTTAAGAACTTGGATGTACGTCGTCACGTGACAGTCAAAAAAGATAACCTGGGTGGGTAGCGTCGATTGCCAGCGGGTGCTCTGGAATTGAACCTGTGTTCCTCTTCCGAAAAGACGACTGGACGCGTGGATTTGCTATTGTCGATTTCCACCAATCAGATCGTTGCCTGCTCATTTCGGGCAGGCACCGCAAAGTAATCTTCCTGAGGCAGGTTTCAAACGGCAGATGCGAAGGGGTTGCTTGATGTGGCGTGCGATCAAGTTTTGAATGTTATGTTTTAAATATTAAAATGTTCGAAAAGAAAAACGTTGGAGAAGCTGGTAAGTGGTAAGGACTGCGGGTTCTGTACGTCAACAAACCGACGGGATCTGGGTTATCAATTATTGTTTTCCAGTTTGCACCGATGGTTGTTGACAGCTTTCTTGAAAAACGACCTTCAAGTTCATTTCTGTTGTACAGTGGAACCTCGATAGAACGAACCTCTATATAACGAAGTCCTCGGTATAACGAATGACTTTCTTTACCCCAGTAATAGTAAAATATATATATGGAAAAGGACCTTGATATAACGAAACCTCGTTATAGCGAACACATTTTTTCAGTCTCTTGGCACTTCGTTATATCGAGGTTCCACTGTAATTTCACCCCTAATCTAACACTCACTCACCGGGGGAGGGCAACATTTTCTTTATGTTACCCTCTATCGGTAGGTGAGTGTTTGACTCTAGTGTCCAGTGTCCGCTGAGCGACGAAACGGTTAAAATGTCGCACTTTTCGCAGATGTACATGTCGCTGATTTTTGAACTCTTGTTGGATCATTGTCAATAGAGTTGTGTGGTCAAGACGTAAGGTTGATCGGAAAGGCTTGCAGAAAGGTGATATTTAGGCAGCACTCTGTAAATTCCGCGGTGCAAAAAAATGTGTGCGTGTATTTTTTTGCGTGATAGTTGGAGCTGTTTTCGAAGCAAGTAAGGCCGATCGGGCGATTCTTTCTTTCCTTCTGTCTATTTAATGTCACAATAGGTTAGATGATGTTATACTGCTCAAATTGCGATTAAACCTCTTACAAAGAAGGAAAACGGACTGGGAAACAATGATTATACTTTATTGATAACATTCACCAGTTTTAAATCATTTTGTTTAGATGTAAGATTTCAGTTTGCCATAAAAATTCTTTATTTAATAGACCTTTACAAGGTTAACACCGCCATTTTGCCGGGGGTGCAAAACTACTGGGGCGAGCGCGCGGCCAAACAATAAAATGCAAATGGCTGACTCATCGAGTTGCAATTACCTGCGAAGAAATATCGAAATATCTTAATCTAGGATCAAAACACGTGTACTGAAACTGTTAGTTTGAAATCCTTTTCTATTTCTGCCGCTACCACTCCGGTAGAGCGGCCACAAAATTATTTGTGATGCCTCGACAAGCAGAGGAAGTTCTTGAATACGACGACTTCCTCGGTTGGACTGTTTCCTCGTTAAAGGATTTTCTTTCGCTACGGGGACTCAAGCAAACGGGCATAAAGTCTGAGCTGATCGCTAGAGCGTTTGGAGCCTACGAACTCAATGTGCCTGTGAAGTTTTCCCAGGAGCAAATTTATCAGCAGATAAAAGACGAATATTCAAGGAGGCTGACTAAAAATGAAATTAAGAGTGATCCAAACATGTTACCGAGTGACGCTTGGATTGACGACGTAAAGGAATGGCCAGAGGTCGATGATGGCAAATTGTTCAGTTATATTTTGAGGACTAAAGCCGTAGATGTCGACTATATTGGAAAATACAAGGATCAGAAGGCCTATTCTTATTGGATGAGTGGCTTTGTAGACACAGTGTTCTTTGCTAAATGCCCAATTAACAGCAAGCATGTGTTCTTGAAAGGCTCTGTATCCCCTTCACAAAAAATTCGTGATGACCCACATAAGGTCTGGGTTTGTTTAGAGGGCACAAAAAGTGAATGCAAAATCTTAACCTCTTGGTGTACATGTACAGCAGGTACTGGTGAAGTTTGCAATCATGTTATAGCTTTGCTATATAAAGTAAATTTTGCACACAAGAAAGCTTACATATCTCCTGCATGTACAAGCGTTCCACAAGGATGGAACAAAGGAACTAGAAAGGATGTAGCTCCAACTCAAATAAAAAACCTTGTCTTTCGTAAAGACAAAAAGACTCGGGAGGACAGTCCCAAAGAACAGGCAGCCAATTTAACTTTAAAGAACAACTTTGACCCACGAAAGCCCCAGGATAGGCAGCTGACCAATGAAAGGGTGTCAGCTCTTATCAATGGAGTAATTGAGAATGTCCCATCTGCTTGTTTACTTCACTCTATCGAGCACACTAAAGATGACGGCCTACCCGAACCTCTTCCTCAGAGAGCCCTTAGCTTCATGTCATCCCAAGAAATGAA